TGAGGGCCGGGGCGCACGGGTTGGGGGGCCTTCTTTGCAGAATCCTATTTTTGGGGAGCAGGGCCCCTCGTTTTCTGGAGGCAGCCCCTGTTCTTGGTAATAAAGGACAGTCAGTAACTGCCAGCGTGCCTGGTCTCTGGTCTCAGGGCAGGGGGGCAAGGGGGACAGCTCCTGAGGTCTCACCAGCAGCTGTGCTTGCAGCGAGTGCTGGTCGGAGTGGGGACGGGCGTCACAGTGTCACCTGTGCCTGGCTGAGCATCCCCCCAGCACTGAGCATCTCCTGAGCATCGAGTTTCCCACTCCAACACTGATCATACCTCAGTATAGAGCATCTACCCAGCACCAAGCGTCCTCCCAGCACTGAGCACCTCTCCCAGCACTGAGCGTACCCCACTATAGAGCATCCCCCCCAGCACCGAGCATCCCCTCCAGCAACACCCCTCCCAGCACCAAGTGTCCTCCCCCACCAGCACCGAGCATCCCCTCCAGCAACACCCCTCCCAGCACCAAGTGTCTTCCCCCACCAGCACTGAGCCACCCCCCTGACTCAACCCTCCACCCCGTCCCACCATTTTTTTTTACCCAGCACTGAGTATCTCCCCCCCAGCACTGATCACCCCCCCACTGCATGCACGAGGAGGGAGGAGGATGGGCCAGGCCATGCTCAAGGACCCCCAGGTGACAGGAACTCATGCCAGGGTTGGGAGGACACACTCTGAAGGGTCCCTGCAAGGGGAGGGGACGAGGAAAGGCACCTGGCCAAGCTGCAAGGGCTGCAGGGCTGGGCCAGCTAATGAGGGCAATTAACAAGGGTAATTAATGAGGGTTCATTAAGAGCAGCCCTGGCAAGAAGCTCTTCCTTAAGGTGCTCTGGTTGTTTGGGGAGGCAGCTCCCAGGAGTGGTGTGGGACCCTGCCTGTGCTTTGGGTCCCCATGGGGGCTTCAGGATCTCCCAGCCCCTGGGGATGATGCCAACAGCCCTGTCCTGCACTGAGCCGGGTGATGCGGCCAGCAGTCCCTGTGGCAGCAACCGTGCTGGAAGGGTGAGTGCCTGTCCCAGCTAGGCAGGGTTTGGGCTGGGTCCCTAGTGAGGGGATGACATGCTGGGAAGGGACTTGAATATGGCTCTGGCAAAGGCGGAGGACCATGTCCTGGGCAGATGTGTGTTGGTGAAGCAGGGCACATGTGGCTGCCTGGGGTGCCAGCTGGCACTGTGAAGGCTCGAGTGGCTGTCTTAAATAATTCACTGAATGCTGGTCTTGAATAAAAATAAAAGAAACTCCAGACGGGGGTATGGCAGGAGAGCCATGTCCTCCGTGCCCAGGACAGTGTCCATCTGGATCTGCCTTCCAGGGGCTGAGACACTGTGTTGGAGGTGGCCAGTGGCAGTAGAAAACAGAAGGGGACAAGGTTGTCCCCTGGCCGGCTCCTGCATCCCAGTGGAGGTCGGGTTCCTGCTGCTTGCACCCTTTCAGGCTCTGGTTTACAAACTCTGGAGATTTTGGCAGCAACGAGCCACCGACGGCATCAGCACCACTGAGCCCAGCTGCTGTCTGGGCTGTGTTACACTGGAGCTGGGTTTCTTTTATCACACTACATCTTTGAAGGTGATGAAAAGCGAAATACTCTTGGCCCTGCACTGTGATCCTAGTGCTCCCATTGCACCGAGGTGGCCTGAGCCACAGCCATCCCCGAGCCCCTTCCCTTGTGCCCGC